AAAACTAAACACTTTCAATGACTCCCTTTTATGTTCTTGCCTCCTTTGTCAAATATTAATTGAGCATAGTGGTTTGGGTCGATTTCTGGGTTCTCTAGTCTATTCCATTGGTCTATATGTCTGATCTTGTGCCAGTACCAGGCAGTTTAGAGAACAGTGGCTTTGTAATATAGCTTGATATCTAGTATTGAGATCCCTCCTACTTTGTTCTTCTTTCTCAGGATTGCTGCAGCTATTCAGGGTCTTTTTTTATTCCAGATGAATTATGAGAGAGTTCGTTTTAGGTCTCTGAAATATGCCATTGGTATTTTAATGGGGAGTGCATTAAATCTATAGATTGCTTTGGGTAGTATGGACATTTTAATAATGTTGATTCTAGCAATCCATGAATACAGTATGTTCTTCCATCTGTTTATGTCTTCCTCTATCTCTTTTTTCAGTGTCTGTAGTTTTCTGAGTACAGGTCTTTTACGTCCTTAGTTAAGTTTATTCCTAGGTATCTTAATTTTTTTGGTGCAATGGTAAATGGGATTTTTTAAAAATCTCTCCTTCTGTAAGTTCACTACTGGTGTATAAAAATGCCATAGATTTCTGGGTGTTAATTTTGTATCCTCTACATTGCTGAATTCATTTATTAAGACTAATAATTTTTTGATGGAGTCTTTAGGGTTTTCTATGTACAGTACCATGTCATCTGCAAATAATGACAGTTTTCCTTCTTCTTTTCCAATCTAGATACCTTTTATTTCTTCTTCTTGTCTAATTGCTATGGCTAGCACTTCCACTACTGTGTCGAACAGGAGTGGTGAAAGTGGGCATCCCTGTCTTATTCCTGTTCTTAGGGGAAATGGTTTTAGTTTTTGCCCAGTGAGTACGCTGTTGGCTGTAGGTTTGTCATATAAGGCTTTTATTATCTTGAGGTTTGATCCCTCTATTCCCACTTTGCTGAGGGTTTTTATTAAGAAAGGGTGTTGGACTTTGACAAATGCTTTTTCTGCATCAATTGATATGGCTATGTTTTTTTAAAAAAAATACGGAACACTTCACAAATTTGCATGTCATCTTTGCACAGGGGCCATGCTAATCTTCTCTGTATTGTTAAAATTTTAGTATATGTCGTGCTGAAGTGAGCACTACAATGACAATATCTTAATAACCAATATAAAAATAGACACGAAACAAAACCATACCCAAAGGAATCATCACAAATTAAAGCAATTCTATCAAAAATTAGCAGTTATAAATCTATCAAAAATTAAGACAGGATAGTATTGGCACAGACACAGACATAATTATCAATTAAATAGGAGACTAGAAATACCCCCAACACATATAGATGGAAATTTAGTATCTGATAAAAGTGATGTTTCTAAAAGGAAAATAAGAAAAGTTGGATTATTCAATAAATGATGACAACTATATAATCATCTCAGAAAAAAAAAGCCAGGAGTATACTTCACCAAAAGAAATTCTACATGGATCAAAAGATTTAAATGTAAAAACATTTATTGAAAATCTACTGTAGCACTAACCCAGTGGCCGGCAAACTGCGGCTCGCGAGCCACATGCGGCTCTTTGGCCCCTGCCACATGCGTCTTTGGCCCCTTGAGTGTGGCTCTTCCACAAAATACCACGTGCAGGCGCGCACATACAGTGTGATTGAAACTTCGTGGCCCATGCGCAGAAGTCGGTATTTTGTGAAAGAGCCAGTATTTTGTGGAAGAGCCACACTCAAGGGGCCAAAGAGCCACATGTGGCTCGTGAGCCACGGTTTGCCGACCATGGCCCTAACCGATTTGACTCAGTAGACAAAGCATCTGTCATTTAAATGGTTTGTGCATCAAATGGTTCCATTTTTATTTGGATGTCAGAAATTACTGCAGAGCAAATTTTATCTATCACATATATACCTGAGTTGCTGAAATGCCAATATGGAACCACTGTGAAGTGTTCCATATTTTTTCATTTTAATGAAAGAAAGCCAATTCCAAACATATAAATCCATTTACACAACTGTATATACCAGTAACACGATGCAATTTACTAGCACATCACTTTTTTGGAATGATAAATTTAATGGAGAACTGATTTCCAGAAGTCAAGGAGAGACTGGGGTGGGGGTGGGTATGCCTATAAAAGGGCACCACAACGGTTCCCTGTGATGACAGAACTGTTCAGTATCTTGACTGTAGCACTGTCAGTATCCTGATTGTGATACTGTTCCATAGGTTTACAAGATGCTACCATTGGGGAAAACTCGATAAAGGGTATCTTTTATCTGGGATCTCTCTGTATTCGTTTTTACAACTGCTATGAATCTACAGTGATCTCCAAATAAAGTGTAACTTAAATTTTTTAAGAAGAAAGTGAGAGAAAGAGGAAGCATTTTACTGTTTTGCAAACATCTCCAAGATGTACCATAAGGAAGATAAAGCAGTATGGAAGAGAATAGTATACTATTATTTATATAAAAAAGAAGAAAAACGTTCATATTTGTGTATAAAGTATCTCTGGAGAAGTAAACCAAAAACTGAGAATACTATATATTTGTGGAAAAGGGGAACTAGGAAGCTAAAGGACAGATGTGGGAAACATTTTACTGTAAAGTCTTTTTCACAGATAAGGAATTTTAAGATATGGAATATATTACTTATTCAAAATAATAATAACAGAGAAATTTGAAAATAGCATTTAGTTTAGATTCTTGCCTCTCACTATATACCAAATATACCTCATACTACATACCAAAGTCAATAACCATGAATAGAATTAATTTTAAAACTGAAAATTTTATCTCTCTGGATAAAAACTCCCTAATCAGCCCTGGATGGTTTGGCTCAGTGGATAGAGCGTCAGCCTGCGGCATGAAAGGGCCCAGGTTCGATTCCAGTCAAGGGCACATGCCTGGGTTGCAGGCTCGATCCCCAGGGGGAATGCAGGAGGCAGCTGATCAATGATTCTCATCATTGATGTTTCTATCTCTCTTTACCTCTCCCTTCCTCTCTGAAATCAATAAAAATATATTACTAAAAAAAAACAACTCCCTAATCATAAAAGCAATTTAAGAAACTGCAAAGAAAAAATAGATTTGACTAAACATTCAAAACTTATGTATATAAAAAAAGACTCAAAAATTTTAAAAAGTAAGTAAACTTGAAAAAACTACTTGCAGCAAAAGAGCTAGAACAGGGGTCCTCAAACTTTTTAAACAGGGGGCCAGTTCACTGTCCCTCAGACTGTCAGAGGGCCGGACTATAGTTTAAAAAAAAACTATGAACAAATTCCTATGCACACTGCACATATCTTATTTGTGTGTGTGTGTGTGTGTGTAGTTTCTTTTTTTTTTAATTTTATTTTTTATTACAAAGGGTATTACATATGTGTTGGTCTCAATTATCCATGAATAAGTGAGATCATGTGGTATTTTTCTTTCATTGACTGGCTTATTTCACTTAGCATAATGCTCTCCAGTTCCATCCATGCTGCACATATCTTATTTTGAACTAAAAAAACAAAACGGGAACAAATACAATATTTGTATTTGCATGTGGCCCGCAGGCCGTAGTTTGAGGATCCCTGACCTAGAAGGTACATGGCTTTTTTACACACATAAAAATCTCACACAAATTGGTAAAAAAAAGAAAAACCAATACTAAGATACTGAAAGCTATAAATTAGCAAGATAAAAAGGGAAAAATAAAATATCTGGTAAATACTTTGAAAAAAAACAAGTCACTAATAACTGAAGAAATGCAAATAAACAAATGAAATGACATGCCCACACCTCTACCATTATATATATTAAGTAAGAAAAAATTTTATTTGAAGAGTTATTTACCTAATGCTGGCAAGAATGTGATTAAACTGGCACTGCAGTGCTGCTGGTAATTACAGCACTGTTCTCCAAAGTAATTTGGCAATAATAATAAAGACTCATAAAATCTTGGTCTCAGAAAATAATTCTGGCAAATAACATAAAAAATTTAAAAAATGTTAAAGGTATTTTTTTTTACAAAAGTACTCCTTCAAGTTTCATGCTACCCATTAGAGATCACCAGCCTTTATTGAGATCTTAAGTCACCCCAATATTCTTCTGAAGTCTTTGACACAGGTTCACAAATATTTCCATCCCAGTACTTCCCACATGCACAGCTTCAGAATGCATAAAAATAAAATACACAAATTCTAATTTTACCTTGAATTCTTACAGGTGTCAGGATATTTCTCGGCAAGTAAATAAAATGCAAGCACTGCTTTGTTTTGCTTCCATAGGTCAGAAGGGTCTTTGCTTTAAAGAAATGGCAATTAAGGGTCTATTTACAGCTAGTTCAATGGCTCTGCACTAATATACTAGCTGTAACATCCTACCTTATCTTCTTTCAATATAGTGGTGAGTGGGGAGGATGATGGGAAGGAGATAGCTAAGATTTGCGCTGCAATAATTTCTGACACCCAAATAAAAATAACAATTGGCATGTTTTTACTAGTTGAATGTGATATCCAACCCATTCTATATAAACAACAAAGCAAGTAGTTATCACATACATACCTGAGTTGCTGAACTGCCAATATTCTCAGATTGAGTATTAACAACACTTGGAGATGGAAGCATATTAGAGGACTCTTGAACTTTTTTCTGGCTTTCACTAAGTGGATTGGATCTTTTCAAATTCTGTCTTGATATAGGTATAAGGGGTTTTAGGCGTTTCTTTCTATGAACCTGAGTAGGTTCATCAGACTCCAAACTATTCTTTGAACATATTAAAGACAAAAATCCCAGGGGTCTTCTGCCAGGTCTAGAAATACAAACATAAAGACATTCAAGAATATCCAGGAAAACACATTCTTAATAACAACTCCTTTCCATTAATCCTACAATGGCATATGTACTAGTAATACGTCATTGGTGCATAAATTAGTGCTTAAAAATGCATACAAATCACCCGGGTATCTTATTAAAATGAAGATTCTGACTGAATTAATGGGGGGTAGAGCCTGGGTTCTGTATTTCTAACAACTTCTCAAATGATGTTAGTTCCATGCTGCTAGTCCCATGACCATACTGAATAGCAAGGCTCTAGAGCAGATGTCAGCAAACTAGGCCAAATGTAGTCCACCACTTGATTCTATAAACGAATTTTACTGAACACAGTTGTGATCATCTGTTTAAATGATTGCTTTTGCACTATAAATGCACAGTTGAGTAGTTGCAAAGACATAAAGGCCACAAAGCCTAAAAGATATACTACACGATTTTTAGCAAAAAAATTTGCTGACCCATATTCTAGAATATTGCTTCTCAATTGGTTTAACCCAAACCCCGTGATGCCTCCCTCCTTCTATATTCAGCACATCTCTTAGACCAGAGAAGATATTGCTGAGCTTTACTTTCTGTCGTTTAGACAACAAGGATGGTAGATTCATTAAATATGCCTTTGTAAGCTACATACGCGCTTCCCCCTTTCCTTTTGTGGAGGTTAGTGCATGTCCTCTCCCTCTTCAACTCACCAACACCATATTAATGACTTTAATACTGCTGACAAGAACAATAATTATCCATAACCCAGAATGCTTAACTTCTAGAATATGAGGAAAATAATGTGGGGAAAGCTGGCTTTGGGCTTAAATTCCACAGTTACTCTCATAGAGACAAAGCCATGGTTTGCCTCTTTGCTACGCCATAAGGGAGAAAAATGCACATTTTCTGGAACCTCAATAAAACAACATCCAGAACTACTTCTGAGGTTAACCCTATGTCTCAGATCATCTACCTGTGCACTGGCAGCTACTATATGATAGAATAAATAAGGATCAAAATAATAATCAAGGACAATGTCGAAAACCAAATATATAATACTGAACTCTAAACATTTTCTATCTAAACAGTCAAAGTTTTAGCACTTAGAGATTTTCTCAAGATACCTGGATAGTGGGGTTTTTGAAGATGATGTGATGCTATCCACTTGTTCAGACTTAGAAGCTGCACAAGTTCCTTCTTCCTTATCAGACACAATCACCTTATTCTGAGGTAACTGAGGTGTATTCTTTTCTATATGTGTATCTATTATTTTATCAAGAGGTCTAGATCCCATACTCTGAAAAGTTGCTTCAAGTTGCTCTTTCTGAGGTTCTGGTGTTGTATGTGTGCTTTCTGAAGTAGGGAAGATATTCTGTCCCTCGTAAGACTTCCCTTAAAAAAAAAAGAAAAAAAATGGTAAGCACATATATTGAAATTAACACAACCAATGGAACTTCAATATCTGAAGGAAAAAACCCATGACATTCTATCCTAAACAGCTCTAGTAAGCTAAATTATAATTAGAGTAAGCTAAATTATAAATTAGGGAGTTACCTGGACGCTTAAGAATAATATAACTAGCTAAAAGTTAAAGTAACAGCTTCTCAAGAATAGTCTTATCAACATATTTTTACTTAGAAAATCTTTCTCCATAAATATTTCTTAAACTAACAAAGTGATCATTTTCTAATCTCAGGGTATAGCGAAGGACCTATGAAAACTCCTTTTACCCAGCTTTCTAATTCCTAAAATGTAGTTGTTGAGCTTTCTCAGAAATCCCGTAGAGATGTGGTTTTCTATTAAATACAGGAAGAAAGTAGACTTTTATGGCTACCAAAGTGCCAAATCCATAATCTCAGCAGGGAAAAAAAAATCTAATAATAAAAGCATGATTCTTAGAGAACAGCGAGCAAGACTCTGCTTCAATCCCAAATTTGAACAAGATGCATCAAAAATAACCAGGGGTACTTAGGAAAATATAATCACATTAAAATTTATTTCACTCACCTGTTTCCTCAAAAACATTTATTAATTCCTTTGAACACACCTGTTTTAAGAAAATTTACAAAAAAAAATTAGAAATCCATTTATCAAATAAAATGAAGCAGGCTGGGAGATGTTAGTGAGGGGAAAAAGAGACATATGTAATACTTTTTTTTTTTTAATATATTTTATTGATTTTTTACAGAGAGGAAGGGAGAGAGATAGTCAGAAACATCGATGAGAGAGAAACATCGATCAGCCGCCTCCTCCACATCTCCCACTGGAGATGTGCCCGCAAGCAAGGTACATGCCCTTGACCGGAATCGAACCTGGGACCCTTCAGTCCGCAGGCCGACGCTCTATCCACTGAGCCAAACCGGTTTCGGCAGACATATGTAATACTTTCAACAATGAAGAATTTTTTTAAAAAGTTAACCAAAAAAGTCTGCATGTGAAAACCACATTAAATAGAGTCAAATGAAAAATAACCAACTGGGAAAAAATATCTGCAACTCATATCTCAGGCATATATATATATATATGAGAGTTCCTTCAAATCCATAAGAAAAAAATTAACAACCCAATTAAAAAATGGGTAAGGAATACAGAGAGTCATCCCACAGAAAACACAAATGGCTTAAAAATATGAAAAGATGCTCCATCCTTACTCATAATAAGAGAAATTAAAACTATTCTGGGAGACCATTTTTCACCTATCACATATACAAGGATACACTGCCTCTGTTGTCTGCTATCATCTAAGGACTATTGGTCTTCAAGTGTCCCTTTGAGAATACAGATTTATGGATAAATTAACTTTGCCATAGTGTGGTTATATACATTATAAGTACCAGAAACAAAAAACAGAGGGTGCTAAGAAACATACAACACAGTGCATGTTGATTAAATCTGCATAGTATTATCAGACTTCTCTAAGGTAGTGATCACTGAGTTAAAGAGGTTTGTATGTTTTAAGGGAGGGGTGGAGAACGTCTGGCTCATGGGCCATATAAGGCCTGTGAAATCATTTGGTCTGTTCCTGCCAAGACATTTGGCGTGAGTTAATTAAATGTTTGACCAAATATAGAAAGCTAATTTTTAAGTTGATAATTATAAATATGATGTTATAAATATTTATGAGAATGATGTTATAAATATCCAAATGGCCCTTGACAGAAAAAAGGTTCCCCACCACTATTTTAAGGGAACAGTTCAGAAAAAGAAATAGCAAAAAAATGGCCGGGGACAGGAAGGAGTACTGTGCTTTTGAGAAAAAAGATGGCCAATATGGTTAGGGAGTAAGGTAGAGATTAGCACAAGACTAGAGACATAAATGAACAAGATAAGTATAGGGCCTTAGAAGTTCTGTTTTTATTCCTAATAGCAATAAGAAGCTTTAAGCATTTTAATGGTGGTGGTGATTAGTATCATCATTTTATACAATAGCAAACTCAATCAGAGAGGTGAAGTAGCTTGCCAAAGGTCTCACAGCTATTAAGTGGTACAACCAAGATCCAGATCTGTATGATGCTTTCAGCCTACTTTTTAGCTAACGATACAGAGCCAGGAATGGATTTCCTGATTAATGTCCATCAATTTTCTTATATAACAGGTTGAAAGTAAAAATACAAAACCAGTTTTACTTTAATTATTTAGGGTGAAAAGTATTAGAACTATCTATATATATAAAAGCCTAAGCAACCATTATGACTGAGCAACCAGAACGACTGGTCGACTAGTCACTATGATGCTCAACGCAGGAGCTGCCCCCTGGTGGTCAGTGCACTCCCACAGCCAAACTCCTGCGGCACCGCCCGCTGGCTAGCCAACCTCCCATGTTCCCTCCCCCCAATCAGGGAGCTGGCCGGCCAACTTCCCGCAGCCTCTCCCTGCCCTCCGCCCTCCACCCTCCGCCCTGGCTGACTGGCCCCCCCATCGGCCCTGATCAGGGGGCCAAACGGCCAATCTCCAGGGGTTCCTCCTCCTGGCCGGCCCCCCAATAGGTCTTGATCGCAAGCCAGGCCAAGAGACCCCACCCATGCATGATTTCATGCACCGGACCTCTAGTCTTTATATAAAGAATATAAAGGGGAAAAAACAAATCAATCTGTTATAATATGGCCATCTTACTTAGTGGCTCTCTTACCTCAGAGATATATTCTTGACAATCATCTCTCAAAGTGAGTGAATGTTTTTTGGCAGGAGGAACATGGTCACTTTCATCAGACCTACAATGAAATCTCTTCCTAGACATAAGATCCAAATTAGCAGGAGGCTTTTCAGAAGCATCACTTCCAGAATTAGATAAACACATGGCATCTTGACCAACTGAAGTTACTGGAAAATTCATACTGCATAGAAAATACATACACGTTAAATCAGTTAATTAGAGGTAATTTAATGAGGTTAAAGACTGAGCTATTCCAATCAAAACTGCCAAAAACACTTCAAAGTAACTAACACATACATGGCCATGACCACAAAAATGTTATTGAGCCTCCATTAATACTTAAAGGCTTAGAAATTAAATTCCATACTACTGAATGAAATCTGAGGTATAAAAAATGTCTGTAAAGTTTATTTTTAATCCAAAATGTCTCTTTCTGATATAAAAGACTTCAATTTCTAATTCTATTTAATAGACAATTAAGCCTCTTAATGAGTGACTGTTAAAATACAACTTAAGAATTCTACTGTAAAGAATTAAAATGAGCATCAAAAATATATAGAAATGGTACCTCTACTATTTTTGCAACTTTCTGTGAGTGTATTTAGAATATATATTTACGTTTACAAAGTAACAAAATTTAAGATATATATAAATGTTTTCAAAGTAACCATACCTTTAATAGATGCCATTTTATGATCTACATTTATAGGTGTTTTTAGCTTTCAAAATACATAAAATACCACACAAGCTTCATTCAAAAATTATTATACATTTGTGACATCTTCATCAGATATAAAATAAATTATTTCTTCTCTACCACATGATTACTAAATAAGATATCTAGAATTACAAATGTTGTTAAATGGCTCATTCCTATCAATACTATTTGATTCATAAAGTAATTTTTCTCCTAGTAAAAACAGTTTAGCTCATCCATTACCTCATGTCCCCCTTTTCTTCTGTAGTCACTGATTTGACCAATATGGGCGCTGGCAGTAAAGGGTTTGGCATTAACTGTGTAGAGTTTTCAGTAAATTCTTGTACTGCATCGGTTGGAATTTCCACCAGAGTTAAAATGAATGCTTGCTCTTCCTCAGCATCATGATGTACGTCACCAACTAGATTGACTATCAAAATTTAAAAGTTAGTAATGAAAAGCTGAACCATGAAAGTACAGAAAATCATTTCATTTCTAAAAAGTCTCAAAATAACTTATCACTAAGAATAAAAACTGAATTACACCCCAAAAAAATAAAAAAGTAATTTTATAAAGGATAAAGATCATTCACTATGGAAATTTATAATTTTGAGCAACAAAATACTTCAAGTTGTTTTTTATTTGTTTTTTTAATTTAAGGCCATCATAGATTTTTTTTCGCCAAAAAAACACATAATTGTTTTGTTTTTTCCACAGTCAAATTGGGGAGTAAAGACCATACTGTTAGGTTCTATGATACTTTATTGAAGCAGATTATCATACCTGCTAAATCCTGAGGATTGCTTACATTCTCTTGTTGGACTTCTGGAGTACTAGTTGGTATACACTGCCATAAAAATTAAAATGAAAAAGGTTGACCAAATCTCAGTTTTAAAAAGTTTTCCTGACAATTTGATATACTGAACAGTTATGGTTTCAAGTCAACAATTATCTAATCCTATGCAATTTTTCAAAGTAGTTTTGGAAACTTGATTGTACCAATAAACTTTTGATTAACATTTACACACAGAAATTCAGACTGAATTGTTTAATATATGTAGTCTATGAAATGAATTTTGACAGAAAAGGGAGCCCTAGCTGGTTTGGCTCAGTGGATAGAGCTTCGGCCTGGGGACTGAAGGGTCGCGGGTTCGATTCTGGTCAAGGGCACATGCCTGAGTCGCGGCCTCGATCCCCAGTAAGGGATCTGCAGGATGCAGCCAATGATTCTCTCTCATTATTGATGTTTCTCTCTCTCTCTCTCTCCCTCTCCCTTCCTCTCTGAAATCAATAAAATTGTTACCCCGTATCTCAGTGTTAGACACGTAGCTTCTCAGATCCAGGGGCTAAGTAGCAAGAGGCGAATTCTCCATGTACAAAACACTTCACTTTTCAAAGCTTTTACAACAAAGCTAGGTATTGGCTAGTTTATCACTGTGCTCCAGAGACTAAAAACAAAATAAAAATTCTATCACAGTACATTCTTGCAAAGGCAAAACAGATCAGTGGTTGCCAGGAGCTGGGAGTGGGAGAGGAGGGGTGACTAAAAAAGAACACCAGAGAATTTGAGCAATGATCCAACTGCTCATGTATTAGTCACATGACTAAGTGTTTGTAAAAATGTAGAGAATTGCACATTAAAGAGGGTGAAAGGTATTGTGTTTATATTATACCTTAATTTTTTTTTTTAAATGAGGAACAAACACCTAGCCACCACTTATTATATTTTTCATTCCTTTACCTCTGGGACATGAGGTGTAAGCACATTGTCTCCATTCGAGTCCTTTCCCAGGGGCTCTCCAACAGAACTCTCACTAAGACCCCTACCCACACCAAGTGTGTGGGAGCTTGTCTCAGAGGAAACAACTGGAGCAAATGACAATATCTGAACTTCTTGAGATCCCTGTGCTTGATCTTCCTTTCTGAAAGAGAAATCAGTATACTTATATTTAAAATCAAGCAGACAACCACAGCATGTTTAGAGCTAGGTACAACAAATTCATCTATTTTATTGTTTTTTAAACTTTTATATTATATTAATGCAACAGAACCTGGATGTTTGTTTGTTTTTAAATTAAATTCATCCCACAATCTCTCCTCTTTACCTTTCCTTTAGGCTTGCTTCCTGCAAAATACTGGTCTCTTCAATGCCATGGTCATGTGCCAATTTGCTCTGCTCCTTATTCTCTGCTATTGTTTCTGATTCAAGGTTTTTATCTTCTAATCCCGTTGCTTTAGGAGCATTTTTCTCCGTTTCTTAAATAAAAAAAACATTTAAGATATAATCCAAAATAGTACAGCTAAAATCTCCATATTAGAAACATATTTTCTTTTCAAAGACAGATCACTATATAGTGGGCTCTTTCAAACATCTCTTAATCCAAAAAGCAAGTTTATTATTATTTTTTAATATATTCTTTTATTTTTAATATATTTTATTGATTTTTTACAGAGAGGAAGGGAGAGAGATAGAGAGTTAGAAACATCGATGAGAGAGAAACATCGATCAGCTGCCTCCTGCACTCCCTACTGGAGATGTGCCCGCAACCAAGGTACATGCCCTTGACTGGAATCGAACCCGGGACCTTTCAGTCTGCAGGCCGACGCTCTATCCACTGAGCCAAACTGGTTACGGCAATATATTCTTATTGATTTCAGAGAGATGAAGGAAGAGGGGGAGAGACATAGAAACATCGATGAGAGAGAATCATTGATCGGTTGCCTCCTGCACGCCCTCTCCTGGGAATCGAGCCAGCAATCTAAGCATATGCCCCAACCAGGAATCAAATCATGACCTCCTGGTTCACAGGTTAATAATGCTCAACTACTGAGCCATGCCTGCCAGGCTAAAATGCAAGTTTATTGACAGGGCACATATTTCACTCCTGGCTACCACAAAAACTGCATCTCCATTTAATGGTAATAGAAGTATAATTAGAAATCCACCAACAAAAGTAGTTTACAGGTGGATATACATGAGGTCTGGTTAGTTCCACCTTGGGAAAAGTACTGGGAAGGAGCTGTTCTACAAAGAATAATGTTACAAAGGGAAAGAAAATGACTTCTATATAGGAAAGGTAACCTGAGCCAGCATGAGAGTGCTTCTAAGTACTGCTCAGACCAGAGTAACAGGCATTGCTGGTTGAAAGAGAAACCCCAGAAATCAGGAATCCCAAAACAGAAATGATGATGTTAACTATCCAGACCTTCTACATACAACATACAGGGTTTAACACAATCTCGGTAAATATATCAACACCACTAAGTACATTTTTTAAAAGTGCAGAACGGTGTACCATATGCATATATTTTTATTCTTCCTGAAAGAAATATACATATGTATGTATATATGATTGTATGGGCATACACATGCCCTCATTAGATACTTATGTGTATAAAATCTTTCTGGAAGTCTATAATAAAAACGGTTAAAAACAGTTTACCACTAAAAGTGGGATTAGAGGGCTGGGAAGCTAAGGAGGAAGGAGTTTTTAAAATCGTATGCCTTTTGGGCACTGTCTTATTTTCTGCCACATGCATGTATACCTTTCTAAGAAATGTGTGCTTGAACATTCATGTACACACACACACATTCACACACAGAAAAAAAAGTATATATGAAGAGAAAGTTTGATCAAGTAAATATAATAAAATGGTAATAATTATTGAAACCAATTGGTGGATTTATAGGTATTTATTTTATTGCTCATTCTTTTTGTACATTTGAAATTAATAGTAAGTTAAAATAAGTTTAACAACTGAATATTCCATTTGAAATGTTATGTAATTTCTTGTGTCAAAGTAAACAATAAAATTTACCTCTTTGAATTTCCACTTCTCCTTTGGTTACAAGCAAACTGGGAACTTCCTGATGAGCACCAAATCTGTTGGTCCCTAAAATCTTCCTAAGATTTGGCTTAGGCTTGGCAAATCTCCTCCTCATTCTGAGATTACTGGTCACCTCTGAAGTTGTATTCCTAGGAAAAGAGGGGGGAAAGAGATAAATCTATCAATGTGTAAGAATTCTCTCACACTGATACATTCTGACTAGCACTGATACAGACAGATATGTGCCACCTTCTAAGGAGCCACATCATCTGAAGTTTCATTTTTTAATGTTAAAATTACGTGGTAGTAACTTTTCTAAAGGTCTTGAGAAGGGAAGAGATTCTGGACCATATTTGTAAAACAGAGACTAAAACTATTTATATAAAACTATTTCATTAAAGCTTTAAAGACACGCTTATTGCAGTAATTTTAATATTCAAAACATTAAACTAAAATCACAATCAGCAATTATTACTTTAAAGGATAAGAAATCAGTACTGCCTACTTTACAGTTATACAAGTATTATTCAAAACTATTAACTAAATTGATGGTTAGTTTAAATATATTAATTAATAGGATATTGTAATTTATTTTTTTGGTAAAACTCAAAAGAAATAATAATTTAATAAAGCAAAATAAACCTGGTTGATCTAGCGTTTTCCTTTACTTTCTCCATTAAACCAATTTCTTCTTTAGTACTTTGTTCCTCCAATTCAATCTTGTTTTCTTCTGATGATGAAAGAGGTATACTTTGGACAGGTGAAGAAAGCTCCTGACATTCATAAACAATTTTGTCACTGACATTCTCTGGGTTAAAAGGAATATGGCTTTTATCCTTTGAATGAACACTAGGAAGTACACATATTCCTATTGCAGAAAAAAACAGAAAATACAAATAGATGTCAAAATAAAATAAATCCTTCAACATTCAGCAACTGCAAAATTCTATACCGTTTTTAAAGTTTGCTCTTTTGGGCTCCTAAATTAAATTTATGATCCCATTCTTCATGCCAAATATTTTACCTTTTCTAAGCTTAATAATTCTTATAGACTGAAATATTTGGGTTATTATAAGTAAAAATGAATTTTTTTGTTACTTTCAATAACTATATAACTTCAAATGAATTACGAAAATCACCTTTATTTACAATTTTTAAAAACCTGTACTTTATGTCCTAGAGATTTGTGACAGGCTCCAATGCAATACTCTGCCATTCAGAATCAAGCCTGAAAAAAAAAAGAATGAAGCCCGCTCTGGCCAGGTGGGTCAATTGATTGGAGCATCATCCAGCACACTAAAAGGTCACAGGTTTAATTCCCGGTCAGGGCACATACCAAGGTTGTGGGTTCGATCCTTGGTATGGGAGGCAACTGATGGATGTCTCTCTCCTTCTCCAACTGATGTTTCTCTTTCCTTCTCCATTCCCCTCTCTCTAAAATCAATAAAAACATATCCTCAAATGAGGATTAAAACAAAGATAAACCATGACTCTGTTCACCTCATATCATCTACGGTTTACACATTTTTAAAAGAAACATTTCTGTATCTGCATGACATATTCATAGAATAAAATACTTAGTCAAGATCATTGCTTCTTAGCCTAAAATATTAGAAATCTGGGTTGACATATAATTTGGCTCAGTCCAAACTAACAGAACATTCTAAACCAAATAATCTCAATGATGGCTACTGCCCCTTCATACTGTATTTGAATGTCACGTAATTGTGGAACTACCCAAAGCAGCAGCTCCTTTGCTAAAGAAACATGTATAAAGTAATCAGTGATCAGTAAGTGCAGTTAACCAATGATGTTTATGATAACAAAGGTAACTGAGCACGTACTATGTGCTGGGGATACAGCATTGAACAACTATTCCACAAATACAAATTACTCTTTTTTTTTCAAATATATTTTATTGGTTTTTTACAGAGAGGAAGGGAGAGGGATAGAGAGTTAGGAACATCGATGAGAGAGAAACATCGATCAGCTGCCTCCTGCACATCTCCTACTGGGGATGTGCCCGCAACCCAGGTACATGCCCTTGACCGGAATCGAACCTGGGACCTTTCAGTCCGCAGGCTGACGCTCTATCCACTGAGCCAAACCGGTGCTGGCATTATTGGTTTTTTACAGAGAGGAAGGGAGAGAGATAGAGAGGTAGGAACATCGATGAAAGAGAAACATCGATCAGCGGCCTCCTGCACATCTCCTACTGGGGATGTGCCCGCAACCCAGGTACGTGCCCTTGACCGGAATCGAACCTGGGACCCCTCAGTCCGCAGGCCGACGCTCTATCCACTGAGCCAAACCGGTTTCAGCTACAAATTACTCTTAATAAACCAAGTGCACTATCTTGAAATGGTGGCCACTACATCTAAAGGGGCAGTTAGAAGGATCATTGCATACATATTATCTTTTCTGGAAAAACAACAAAGTGGTGCCAACTTCAAATGTAACAGGCAGGTATTCACTTATTATGCAAATGTGGGTATAATTTCTTAAAAGTTGGACTTTAAAAGCTTCTTTTATTTTAAGGACTTATTTTTCATTCTTACCATCACTCTGTTCTGTACTGATCCCTGATTGCAACACCAGATCTCCCATTGTAAGTAAAGTAATGGCAGCTTCAGTGCTTCCATCGTTGGTTTCTTGTGAGAAAATATACCAACATTAAAACAGAAGAATGAATCTGGAAATTTAAGTTTGTTTACTTAGAAAAAGTTTTTAAATTCAGGTGTTTATCCTCTAGTAACAAATTTCAATATCCTCTATACCACTAATCCCTTACTAGGGTAATGTTTTCATTAATTTACTGTAAGTAAAGAAATCATCAACTGTTGGCTTTTACTCACTGCAAATGCCTCCCTCCCATTAAGTAACTTAGTATCTTCAAAAAAATGCATTTATGCAGATCAGAGGAAAAAATACTTCTTTATTAAACATTTAACTCAATTCATTTTCTACAGTAACATTCCAAGAATTCACATTTCTTCTAGAGGTAACACATTCAAAAGCTGAATCATTTTGTTCAACCCTCCAGCAAAATGACTCATTTACAAACTACCATCACTACTATATCATTGTGCTAGTGTTAACCAAGTAGTTTTTAACAGTTTCCTATTAAAAGTTACCTGTTTCATCTTGGGTATGTTCACCTGTGGTCATTTCCTAAAAGAAGAAAAGTAATATCTTATGTAGTTTCCCAAATTATTTGTTCTGTATCTCAAGAAACACTATGTTGTACAGATCTATCTGTGCTTTTAATTACAATGGAGTGGGAACTGGTTTTCCCCCCTTAATTATAATTATTCATAAAATAGAACAGAAATAATTAAAAATCCAAGTTCTTTTGTCTATTGCTCCTTAGTTTACTTTTTTTTGTATTATGTATAAATTTTAATTATGATTATACTGCAATCTGCATCTACCATTCCTACTTTAGTTCTTCACTTCATAATCCTTCAGCTTTAATCATAGCTGGCATAAGTTTTGACTCAATGGAAACCACGGTCTGAAAAATATCAGAATTTTTTTTACTACTAAGAAGTTATAGGACTGATGTCCAGCATGACAGCATGAGGAGCTCTGCTGACCTTCTCCCCATTGAAAATGGTGAAATTTATTTAAAAGCAACCATTAAGGCCTCTGGAAATGATCCTAAGAGCATAGGATGAAAGATCATCTATTCATGAAAACTTGATAATAAAGGGAAGATCTGTGGTATTTAAACAAAGATTGTTCTCTTCCTCCTTCTTCCCAGCTCAGCAGACAGAGACTCCATCTCAAACTGCTGCAGCCAAGAAAACAGGTCCCTTTCTCCCTGCAGGTCCCAGCTAGAGGGCTTTCTTCCTAAGAGGAGCAGGCATAAGATTCATAACAGATAATAGACCAATATCTAATATGAATATGAACACAAAAGTCATCAATGAAATACAAGCAAACAGAATTCAGCAACATATAAAAATTACACATCATGAACAAGTAGGATTTATCTGAGGTGCAATGTTTTGTTTAACATCCAAAATTCAATCAGTATGATACATCGTATCAATACAATAAAAAATAAATATCACATGATCTCAATAGATGCAGAAAAAGCATATAATTCTAATCCCCTTTCATGACAAAATACACACACAAACCAGAAATAGAACTTCTTTAATTTTATAAAGGACATCTATGAAAAACACCATAGCTAACATCGAACTTAATGGTGAAAGATTAAATGTTTTCTGCTAAGACCAGGAATGAGACAAGAATGTGTACTCTTGTCACCTGTATTCAATATTGTATTGGAGGTTCTAGCCAGGGCAATTCGGCAAGCAAAAGAAATAAAGAACAGCCAGATTGGAAAGTATTGTAAATTGAATTGTGTCCCCCAGAAAGATGTTGAAGTCCTAACACCCAGTACCATGAATATGACCTTATCTGGGACGCACAGTCTTCGTAGAGGTAATCAAGTTAAAATTAGGCCCGACAGGATTAGGGTTGGCCCTAACCCAGTATGACTGCTGTCCTATAAGAGGAGAAGAAACACAAACACACAGACACAAAGAAAACTATGGCAATGAAGGAAAAGTTTGGAGTTGTGCTGCCATGAGCCAAGTAATGACAAGGACCGCGATAACTGCCAGAAGGTAAGAGAAAGGCCTTGGATGGTTTCTCCCTCAGAGCCTCCAGAAGGAGCCATCACTGACCTTAATTCATGCTACAATAATGAACCTTGAAAACATTATGCTAATAGAAGCCAGACACAAAAACCATGAGTCCATTTACACTGAATGGCCAGATTATTATGACCAGCCAGATTATTATGATCACCCCATCAGTACAATGAAATGAATTAGTTATGCAAATATAAAACCTTGAGAGTATTTGCTTAGGAAGTTTTCAATATTCAGTATTTTTGGAAGTGTCAATGAACTACTGATGGGGTGGTCATAATAATCTGGCCACTCAGTGTACATGCAATGTCCAGAATACACAGATCTATAGTGACAAAAAGTAGATTGGTTGGCTAGACCTGGGGAAGGATGGAAAGCAGTGGGGAGCAACTGCTAATGGGTATGGGGTTTCTTTTTGAAGTGATGACAATGTTCTAAAATTAACTGTGATGATGTTTGCACATAACTGTATATTAAAAATCATTGAATTGTACACTTTAAATGGTGAACTGTATGGTGTGTGAACTGTGTCTTAATAAAGATGTTTTTTAAAAGTTGTAATTTCAAGTCTTCATTTTCAAAATTAAGATAAATTCTAACCAAATAAGAATACCAAGCAAAATGCAATTAAATACATTCCAAATAATTTATATGCAACATAAGATTATGAGCATATTAAGAGCTATACCCACACACATACACAAAGATCACTGCTCTTCAGGTCAAATACAAAACCTATAGATTATTCATTAGTTCTACTATTCACACTTACAGCTCCCTACATGACAAAAATTAGTGAACTGCTTGTAAACCTAAAGTATTCAAAATAAACTTCCAGTCTTTTTTTAAAAAGTTACAAAGGTAGAAGTGAGCCAGTTGGGCTGTGGGGGCTTGGGAAACAAGTTATAGAAGCAAACGAAGGGCCCCTGGAGCTTCAGAGAGAGAAAAGCAAAGGTAATGCATCGAGGGAAAGAAGAGGGGGGTGGGGAAAGGCGTGGCTGTGCTCCCCAGAGAGAGAGCACCAAGCTTCCAGTCTTCTGAAAGTAAACAAGAATTGAACACAAAACATTAAAATGGATGCTTACAACTGATAATACATTCAAGTTTTCTTCTTGTTTCATTTCCTGAGTGGTCACATCTGTGTTTGAGAGCTGATGTTCATCAACAGTTATGAATCCAATATCTGGGACATTCACGGTTATTTCAAGCTGTCAAAATGAAAAGTCTCATTATTTCATATTGGCATACTATACACAAACAAGTAAAATAAAATGGTAAACTGAAAAAAATAATCCAGATTCATACACAATTAAAAAACTGAAGAATAGTCATTTTTACACTGATTTGACATCAACTTGGCAAAAGCAAAACATGTAAGGCTTTTGAGGGGCCTGTGAGTCTTATAACCAGTAAGCAACTTTTCCAAGGCTAATTTTCCTAGTACCTAGCATTTAATTTTCCATTATCCCCACTTTGTCCTTACTTTCACGTAATTAACCTCATCAGTCTGTTAGCATTTATGGAGTGCTTCCTAAAAATTAGAGGGCTGCAGATAAAAGGATACAAAGCTGAATGAGACAAGTTTGGTCCCTGCCTTCAAGGAACTCACAGTCTAAGAAAAACAGATTTATAATCAACTAACTATACACTGTCTTAAATACTATAATAGAGATGAGTTGAAAGCTCTTAAATATATTCTAGAGGCCTGGTGCATGAATTCGTGCACCAGTGGGGTCCCTCGGCTTGGCCTGTGGGATAGGGCCAAAACCAGCTCTCTGACATCCCCCAAAGGGTCCCAGATTGCAAGAGGGAGCAGGCCAGGCCGAGGGACCCCACTAGTGTACGACTGGGGCCAGGGAGAGATGCGGGAGGTTGGCCAGCTGGGGAGGGACCATGGGAGGGCTCCAGGGCATGTCCAGCCTGTCTCGCCCAATCCCAATCGGCCAGACCCCAGCAGCAAGCTAACCTACCAACTGGAGTGTCTGCCCCCTGGTGGTGAGTGCACATCATAGCAAGCAGTTGGGCGGCCTTAGCATATCATTAGCATATTACAGTTTGACTGACAGCTGACTGGTCAACCAGATACTTAGCATATTAGGCTTTTATTCTATAGGATATTACCCTCTCCCCCACCAAAGCAACTACCCTCTCCTGCTTTTTAAGGAAACATTTTCTAACATAAAAACAATTTCCCTGCCTTAATAATCTTGCCATAAAAAATAAAAATTTAACTTTCTTTACTCAATTATTATGATTAATGCTATTTAAGAAGGCATTCTATATTAATTCAGGGATAAATCCTAAAACCTGATTTTCAGAAATTTCTGACATTAGTTTTGACTAGCAATTTGCCTTTCACCCAAAGAAATCTGTAAAATATAAAACATATAGCTAATTAAATTCACATGCAGTGTTAAACAGCTATCCTTGCACAAAATTAACCTTCCTTTTGCATTTTCTTAGTTTCAACTAAAGCTTAAATTCGCTATTTTTACTTTGAACTTTTAGTTACAAGAAACAACTTGAATTTACATCATTTTTGTTTACCTTCAACCATTCTAACTAAATAGCTTTACCACACTTAACGTGTTATTATTAACAGTGAAGAAAGATGTACAAGAAATAGTATACAGGGTACCTAAAGTAGTCATAAGACAAAAGTGGAATGGTGGTTAGCACAACCTAAAGGGGAGAGGGTAATGGGGAATTATTGTTTGATACGTACAGAGTTTTAGTTTTGCAAGATAAAAATTGTTCTGGGGATGGATGGTGATAATGGTATAGCACAATGAATATACTTAATGCCACTTAACTATAGATTCAAAAATGGTTAACATAGTAAATTTTATGTTATGTGTATTTTACCACAATTAAGAGTATACAGATATATGTCTCTTCTACCTTCTCTACTAACCAGAACTCAGCATAAGCCTATAAAAATTACATTTGGTAGAGGTAACTTAGAGAGTGAACTCTCCAAAGCCTAATATTCACTAAGAGAAGAAAAAAATGATCCACTAAGAGAAAAATACAAGTAAGATAAAGTCCCAAGCACTCAAAAAGAAACTACCTCTTCCATCGTTTCCTCAATATGAGTAGAAACAGGTTCAGGAGATCTGAGACCAACAGGTACAAACACTGGAGCTTTGTTTATTTCTTCTGGAGCAAGATGATAGCTTTCTTCTTCATAGGCAGATTCAAAATCTTCAGCATCATCTTCATCCTCTTCCTGGGAAGCCCGAAGAGTCACCAGCATGGCCTTGGGAGCTCTAGGTTCCTTCTTAGAAGTCTTACTCCGAATTCGTTTTGATCCACGCCCTTTGTTCACAGTTGGTTTGATCTTTCGATGCATTCTCCTTTCAGTATGATCCACCTCATATCCAGAGGCAGAAGAGATAGCTGTTCTTTGATTGAGAGCAATTTTAGAGTAATTTGATTCTTTTAACAGTTGTGAATGGCTGGAGGTTTAATAAAAATAACAACATAGTCACTGCACACACAGGATAATTTTAATGAAAACCAAACTTTTAGACTGAAATCCCAATTCAAGCCTTAAAATGAAAACTCCCACCACTCATTCTGTCAAAAACTTATACTGTGAAAAGAAGAAATTTACTATTAGTTTCTCATTCAGAGTTATCTGAATATAAAAACATAAAAAATTCTTAAAAAATAAATAAAAGTCTTAGTTATCTACCCAAAAATTTTTCATAGTAAGTTTTATTTCTGGGCTATTTTCCCCCTTGCTATTTAAGTGGAGATAAAACACAAGACTGGAAATTATCAGAGGAAAAAGGAATGATAGTCAATGAGCCAATAAATACAGAATAGGAGGTTAAAAAATGATACTGGTTATTCCTATTTGGTAAACAGATTAGGATAAAAGAAAAAAAGAGGATGCAAAATATTCATCAAAACAATGTTGGTTTTAAGAACTTAGTTCCCTTCCACTTTTCTTGAAAATGATGGAAGAGGGTACCCTTCACCGGTGTTTGTACCCCTATTTGAATTAGTACTCTAATTATTTAGGTACTGCATACTACTCTTTGGTCAGGCTTCTGCTCATATCTACCATACTTAATAACCATAGATTTTAAATGTAGGGTAAAGAAAATCTTCCTAAAAAGATCCAAAGGAGAAATATTCAGTAAATAAAATCAAAAGGGAAGAGAAATAGACCTGTCGATAAAAAACAATCTACACTTCTGTTAACAAGACATCTCTTACTCTATTAATAAATTAAGATAGGACATCCATAAAGAATAAGTTTGTATTTCTTCTGCTGAAAATAGTTATGTAAAATTTTACCTTGCTAATTTACTGAGATGCTGCTCTTCAACAACTGAAGACACAGAATTATCCCCTACAGTTTTCTGTCCAACACTTCCTGATGGTTCAACTTCTGACTGAAGATCTTTCTTGGTCAAACCAGCCTCTTTGGAACCTACACAATCTTTTCTTGCTGAAACCTCCAGAGATGTCAGAAGCTCAACTTTTTCCTTCAATTTAAGAAGAAACAGCTAATATTACCACAAAAACAATCTCTATGGCAATTTGATTTGGTAGTTTGACCTAGAGTCCCAAGCTTGCTTAGACACACACACACACACACACACACCATCACTGGTTTCTAAGTTTTTATAATATTAGAATGCCACTCAATTTTCAAGAAAATAATGACAATACAAAATTAAATATTTTTAATGTTTTTCTTCATGATCCCGACAAAATACAGCCCACTGATAAAAATTATATATTTTCAAACTTACTTTCTGAAGGAGCTGGGTGTCAGAATCTCCTTGCTGCAGCAAATTATCTTCTGGCTTCCAGGCCTCACCCAGATCTGCTCTGTCTTTTTCTATAACTCTTTCCTCTTTCTTATCATGTGCTCTTCCCAAATTTGGCTCAGGGTTTTGGAACTGCCTTCTTATCAATTGTCCTGGGCTAGAAACATAAGTTTTATGTTCATTTCTAGAATGAAGTACAAATTATCTTGAAGAACCAAAATCAGAATTCTTTTTTAATGTACCAGCTGTTAAACAATTTTTTACACAAACCAATCCTATGTTCAAAGGACTATATGTAAATTTGCTATGCTGATATGAAAGGAAGAACATAGAAGCTTTTACAGTATAACATCCATTTTCTGTATAGCCTGGGAAATAGTTTTACAATAATATTAATCTTTGTTACTTTCATTGATCCTGGTTTGTGGGTTCATTCTACTTTAAGTAATTTTCAGAGTAATAACTAGAAAAGAAATTCTAGTAGTTGAAGATGGAATTCATAATGGCACTTTAAACAAATGCTTCAACCGGGCTCTGAAGCATGAACAAATATGTTCAGTGGTCACAACGGGCATAGGTGGTCCTACTGGTTCACAAGCAGGCTCGAAAGCTAGAGTCTCTTCTCCTTCCACATGCCTATCAGCTCACAGAAAAAAGTTTATTGATGGTCAGTGTCATAAGAATCTCAATAAAACCCATTTTATCTGCCAAAACATAGAAAGACAAGATTTAAACATTTAATAGAGTAGCCATAGACTCCAAGGCAACCCAAGTCTTAAGGCTTCCTGGGAAGAAATAATTGGCAAAGATGTGAATTCTAAATTAGAAAGCTTAAAACTAATATAAATGTGGATATTTATAAGAATAACTGGATATGTGCCTATCATTGGTTCTCTAAATGATCTATATTAAAGACTATTCTTAAGTAATATTTCTAATAAATTACCCAGAAAAAAGTACTTAGTTACATTTTCAAATGTATCTACTAAGCTCTTCTGTCAGTGAAACACCAAGGAAGTTCACAGAAGTCCTAACAAGGTTATGATGCTAACTAATACATCTAGTGCAGACTAATGCATTTGGGAAAACAAATTATATCTAACTTAAGTATAATCTATACATATAAAAGCCCAGCAACCAGAACGATGGAACGACCAGAAGGACCGATTGCTATGAAGTGCACTGCAGTGGTCAAATGGCCCTATCAGGGTCCCAATCGCCCCCCGCCCAGTATCCTGTGGCCCCTGCCCCCAGCAGGTATTTTGTGGAAGAGCCACACTCAAGGAGCCAAAGAGCCGCATGTGGCTCATGAGCCGCGGTTTGCCGACCACTGCCCTAGCCAGTTTGGCTCATTGGATATAGCGTCTGCCTGCGAACTGAAGGATTCCAGGTTCGATTCCAGTCAAGGGCACATGGCTGGGTTGCGGGCTCGATCCTCAGTGGGGAGCATGTAGGAGGCAGCCAATCAATGATTCTCTCTCATCATTGATGTTTCTACCTTTCTCTCTCCCTTCCTCTCTGAAATCAATAAAAATATATTTAAAATATATTCTAGTTCATAATTATTACTTTATGCTTTCATAAATTTTTAAGATGTGAAGTTATATAAAATTAATTATGTAAAAACCCAACCTTTATCTTTGGAAAATTTGATGCTTTCTGATTTAAAGGCACACTCACCTCATCTTTTTATCTAAAACATCAACTTTGTTAACATGAAGGTTTTCTAGAAGAGCCACGTGACTCTGATTTTCATACATTCTTCCTTCAGAAACTTTGGAGGATATAACTTCAATTTCAGTTCCAATTTGATAATTTGGCTGAAATGACAAAACCATACTTGTGTATTTTTTTTAAAAACAACAGAATATGCTTTCTAAATTATTTTGAACATTAAGATAGACATTTAGTTTTTTAAAATGAAGACTCAAACTGGATATGTTCATGATTTGCTGTCCAAAACATAATTGCCTAATTTAGAAAGCTTAAAAGATTTTTGCAGCAATATGTTTAAGTGATGCTTTAAAAAGTACAATAACCATCTGTTATGAACCACCCCCCCCAAAAGAAGTTTAATGTTGTTGTTTTTTTAAAGAATCAGGAGGTTCAAATAAAAATTACAATCACTTTAAATCTAGATTTTTACTATAACAGACAGAGAAAAGGACAGAAAAACAAAAACTGTTGAAACGGACATTACACTACTAAGATTTGCTTCTAATATCACAAGAGCCATCAGTAAGAGATGGTTTAACTATAATTCAAAGAGCAGAATGTTTATACAGCAGTTAAAAATAATGTATCCCTGTATTCTTGACACAGAAAGCCAGTTAATATATTAAATGAAAAACAGCTGTCACAAAATAGCATGCATGTAATCATTTCAGTTATTTAAATTTACATATGTATCCACATATGCATGCATGGGGATACATCTGGTAAGATACAACAACAGTTTTTTGGTGGTAATCTCATGTGGTCAGATTTGGGGTAGTTATTTTGTATTTATTGAAAATTTTCACAATGAATAGTTCATTAGTAAGGAAAAAATAAACCTATATTTACTTTTTTTAACATTCAGAACGGTAAATCTGAAACAAAACTAGATAGATTATGTAACCACTAAATAGAGTAAGTGTCAAATTACATAAGACAAGACTGAGCTATCATTTAATATTTTAATTTGCATTAAAAGGCTCAACTCAATTACATGACAATAACTCACCACACTCAGCAATTTCTTTTTAGTTTCATCTTTTTGTAATTTTGTCCTTTCTTCTTCAACTATGCCTTTGGCTTCACCTTTTTCTACCATTTGCCTCTGTCCAGCCTTTTTTATGTTTGGTCTAGGTCTCTGAAGGCGGCCCCTAACTGGTCGAGTAGGATGGATAATACTTTCTTTTATTTCTTGTTGAAAAGTGTTTATGTTATTATGAGTCCTAGAAAGAGGGGCAAAGAAAAATAGAGGAACTTGACTGTAAAAAGATGAAAACTACTGTAAAAATGTAAAATTTGAGTATCCTCTAATAAAATTACCCTCTCAATAACAATTTACTTTCTGATTATAAATATACCTTGTTTTATAAAAGGATATATTATTTTAATTATTAAAAGGTAATGAGCCCTAGCTGGTTTGCTCAATGGTTAGAGCGTTGGCCAGCAGACTGAAGGGTCCCAAGTTTGATTCCACCTGGTCAAGGGCACATACTAGTACCTCAGCTGCATGCTTGATCCCCAGTCCTGGGTCTAGTTGCATGTGGGAAGCAACCAATCGATGTGTCTCTTTCACATCGATGTTTCTCTGTCTCTCCCTCTTCCTTCCACTCTAAAAACCAATGGAAAAATATCCTTGGGTGAGGATTAAAAAAAAAAAAAAGGTAATGAATTTATATGAGGTACCTACAATATTCATATTCATAGAAAGAAAGTACAATCCTGGTTGCCAAGAACTAGAGAAAGGAAGGAAAGGAAGTTATTGTTTAATGAATACAGACTTTTAGGTTGGGAGAATAAAGTTCTAGAGATGAATGGTGGCAATGGTTGCACAATGTGAACGTCCTTAATGTCATTGGATTATACACTTTAAAAAATGGTTAAAAGCTAAATATATCTACTATGCATTTTACCACAATTTTAAAAAATATGTATTTTTACTGATTTCAGAGAGGAAGGGAGAGGGAGACAGAGATAGAAACATCAATGATGAGAGAGAATCAAGGATCGGCTGCCTCCTGCACGCCCTATACTGGGGATGGAGCCCACAACCCAGGCATGTGCCCCTGACCGGAATCGAACCCAGGGCCCTTCAGTCTACAGGCCAACACTCTATCCACTGAGCCAAACTTGCTAGGGCTTTTACCACAATTTTTTAAAAGACAAATAATACCTTATACACATATATTTCTTAAATGCACTGCTTTGTGTAAGATCTTAAGCAGTGAACAGTGAACATAAGCAGACAAGCATAAAAGGTGTTGAACTCAATCTGATTTTCAATTTTACAGGCATTCTGCCATATGAATAAAAATAAATCAAATACAAAATTCTTTATATTCACTGTTAAAATACATTAACACATCTTAATTTTAAAAAAAGAAGTATTTGAAAGAACTCTGACTTATTTTAGATTTTCAAAGGACTATCACTGTTTACCCCATAGAAATAGATAATTCCTTTTCCTGGGCTTGTGTAGACTCAGAGGCCTCTTCAGATTCACAAAAACTTGAAGGTGAAAGGTTCTTTTCTGTCAGTTCACATGGTAACATCCCAGCCTCCTCTTGCCTGAGATCTGATTTGTCTTTTTCTCTTGATGTCATCAGGGAAGACGCATCCTAGAAAGAGATTAAAAAAATTTCATTGAGGGTTGGTAAAAGTATAGGGAAATAAGAACTTGCATATACTATTAGAATAATAAATTTGTATAGTCTTTGTAGAGAACAATAGGACAGATCTATTAAAAATTTTATTTTCCAACTATTCTACTTCTAGAAATGTATCTTATAAAAATATTCAAATACGTATCTAGAAAATTATATAAAAGGATATTTATTATAGCAATATTATTCTGTGTGTGTCCCACTGCCAAAAAAGAGGGGGGGGGAAGGGCATTACACTAAAGAAAATACAAATAAAAAAATTGAAAACAACACAAATCTATCACTAGGGGACTGAATAAATAAATTATAATTTCTTCGTAATATAATAGTATAGAGCTATTCAAAAGATAAATTTCTAAATACTGCTCTGGCTGATGTGGCTCCAGCCAGCTGAGTGTCATCTATGCTCTGAAAGGTCACTGGTTGAATTCCTGGTCAGGGTACAAGGCCAGGTGTAGGCTGGATCCCCAGTCAGGGTATGTGCATGAGGTAGCCAATCGATACCTCTCGTACTTCAATGTTTCTCTCTCTCTTTCTCTCTCTCTCTCTCTCTCTCTCTCTCTCTCTCCTTCCCCTCCCTTCTTTCCTCCCTCCCTCCTTCCCTCTCTAAAAATCAATAAGAACATATTTAAAAATTTCTAAATACTGATCCAAAAAGATGTTCACAGCCCTGGCAGGGTGGCGAAGTAGGTTACAGTGTCATCCTATACAGCAAAAGGTTACAGGTTCAATTCCCAGTAAGGGCACATACCTAGGTTACGGGTTCAGTCCTGTTGGGTGTGTATGGGAGGTAACCAATTTATGTTTCTCTCTCTCTTTTTCTCTCTCTGTCTCTCTCCCCTTCCTCTCTCTAAAACATCAATAAAAACATATCCTCGGGTAAGGATTAAAAAAAAAAAGATGTTCGCAATATTATAAGTGGAAAAAATCAGAAGGCAAGCTATGATGTCGTTTTTGTAAAAGAATGAAAATACCCTCACGTTACTATTTATATAATATGTAACTATACTTAGAAAAGTCTGTGTTGCCCTGACTGATGTCGCTTGTTGGTTGGGCGTCAACCCATGCACCAAGGTGTTGCTGGTTCGATTCCTGGTCAGGGCACATGCCCAGATTGCATGCTCGATCCCTCGGTGTGGGGCATGCCAGAGGCAGCCAATCAATGTTTCTCTTACATCAATGTTTCTTTCTCTCTTTCTCTCCCTCTCCCTTCCTCTCTCTCTAAAACAGGGGTGGGAACATATGGCCTGCAAAATCATTTGGTCTGGCCCTGACAAAGCATTAAACCTGAGTTAACTAAATGTTTGCAGGCTAATTTTTAAGTTGATAAGTTTGTATGGCCCAAGAAGGATGTTATAAATATCCAAATGGCCCCTGGCAGAAAAAAGGTTCCCTATCCTTGCTCTATAAAAAGCAATTTAAAAATCATAAATAAAAAAAGTCTCGGTGGATAGATTCAAAATTGCTACATGATTAACTTGGCAAGGACAGATGGAACATTATAGGGGACTTTCTCTATTTAGATTCTATATTTTCCCAATTTGGAATTTTTATAATCAAATAAAATAATCAATAAAAAGTGATTTATCTTTTAAAATATAAGATTAGAAGAATAAAATACAAATGCTCAAGTATAATAAGAACTAAGCTATTTTAAGATGCAAAATAAGAATTTTAATTCAAAAAAGTACTTTACATATTTAGAATTTATGAGTGTTATTTCATTTCAAAGTTTTTTATATATATTTTTATTGATTTCAGAGAGGAAGGGAGAGGAAGAGAGATGGAAACATCCTGATGAGAATCATCGATTTACTGCCTCCAGCACAACCCCTACTAGGGATCGAGTCTGCAACCCGAGCATGTGCCCTCACGGAGAACTGAAACACAACTTTCTGGTTCTTAGGTCAATGCTCAACCACCGAGTAATAATGGCCGGGCTCATTTCAAAGTTTTTGATGCTACATCACATAATCTTAAATTTATGAACCAAGTAAATAAACTCCTTTAACTCTTACCAAGCTCTTTGTTTTTTAAATCCTCACCCAAGGATATGTATTTTTAATTGATTTTAGAGAGAGAAAGGGAGAAGAAGAAAAAAAAAACACCAATGTGAGAAACATCGATTGGATCAAAGCCCCAACCTGGGTATGTGCCCTGACCAGGAATCAAACCCGAGACCTTTCAGGGACAATGCTCCAACAAAAAGTCACACTGGTCAGGGCCAAGCTCTTAACTTTTTATTTCATCTTCACAACAGACTGAAATAAAAAATTGTCATTCCCATTTCCCCTATGAAGAAACTGGTTCATCATTTGGCTATAATCACACAGCAAACAAAGGTCAGAACTTAAACTACATACAGCCCAGGCTTCTTAAATTCGTTCCATGACATACTTGCCCATCACAGAGATCTGAGATTCTTACACAAACCATGTGGAACAATGAGGCACATTGAGTACAGCTACAACAAAATCACACATGGTAAAAATTCTATGAGGAAATACTTGTGAAATTTCAATTCCAAGCGTTTTACTTTATTAACTAAAACAAAAGAACCTCCATCTTAAATATCACTCACATATTGAGAAGGGAGAATGTTCATTTGTTCACCATCCTGTTGTATCATAATAGTCTCTATTTTATCCACTTCCAAATTCTTCCCAGGTATATGTTTTCCTGCTTCCATAGTCTCTCTTTTTAAAGCTGCTCTTGATAAGTTTGGTTTTGGTCTTTTGAATCGACTTCTCATAAAAGGTGCTGGTTTAAATGGCTTCTGTTCTTGAGGAAGAGATTTGCTTTTGGAACAAGGATTATCAAACTTTAGAATGAACTGAAGGGGCAGTGGGAGAGCAGTCTTAGGACAACCTTAGAGATTGGCAGTAAATATTTAATTCTGATTCTTAACCAGAAAACAAATTGGACTATTTGGTAGCTTCTGAAAAAATGAGTGGTACAACCCAAATAGATATAAGCCTAGGAACTATATCATCTTTGCACAAGGAAAATATAGGTTTATCACACCCATATGATGTATTTAAGAGTATGTATTATATACAACTCTGTATGTTAGTAATTCTCACAATCAACTGTCAGAATATCCTCAATCCTCTCTCCCACTCTTCCCCAAACTGGCTTAAACTCTCTAACACTATGCTATAGATTGTCTTGAAATCTTACATAATTAACATAAACTGTAAATATAACTTTATATGCTCTTTAACAGCACACAGACCTATAAAATTATACCTTGAATTAGTATCTGAAAATTGCTCTGGAACATCTGCACATGGTGTCCCCTGGTCTTCTGTTTTAGCAAGTTCAGAAGTCTTCAAAGAAGTCTTCCAATGACTCAACTGGCTGGACACTTCCTTTTCAGAATTTCCCTTTTCCTCTACAGGTGTATGCACCACAGATAGGACTTCATTGCTAATGTTCTGGAAGAATAGTCACAGTAAATCAGCACATATACAAGATTCCTTAAGCATCTCAAACAAAAATCCTACTATATTCTAAACACTTTTCTTTAAAAATTCAGTTTATTTTTTTAATTTTAAAATAAAACAAAATTTACAAATGTTAAAACACAAAATTCCGTTAACTCTTCTTTACATATTGCATATTTATATTTCCAAGACACAAATGCCATTGCTGTACGTTCAAAAAAAAAAGTCCTTGAAAATGTTAGAATAGGATGAACTTCAAATAACTGAAAACTTTTAATAAAAATAACTTTTAAAGTGGAGTAAATGGGTGGGACAGGAAAAATAGAGAAAAGCTGATACATTTATAGTCAAAAGAAATAATTCCAATTTCATTAATTCTTTTTATCTAAGAGTAACTTCAAATTGACATTAAGAATAGTATCTTTTCCACAATTAAAAAAATTTTAATTATTCTTTTTTTCCTTCGAGGTCCCAAACCATAGAATTTAGGACTAAGAAAGACTTTAGGCTTTAGAGATTTTAAACATTGTTGGACTCAGAAATGCAATTATATTTATGTTTCTCTGAAAGAGCATTATGAAAAAAACTAGAGGCCTGGTGCACAACATTCATGCACTGGGGTGGGGGGGTATGTGGGGGGGGTGCAGTCCCTCAGCCCTACCTGCACCTTCTCCAATCTGGGAGCCCTCTCCAATCTGGGAGTTTCTGTCTGTCTTTGCAATCATATGAGCAAATTGTCTGAGACCCCAACTCAGTTTGGTTTGTTGCTCCAAGAATAATAGAGGAATAATAGAGGCATTTTTTTTTTTCATTGATAGAGATTTCCTGGAAATTTTAGGATATCTTCCCTTTAATTTTTCCTAGACACTCTGATTTTACTTATGTCTCTCACCTTTGCTTTCCCTCCATCCCCCACCACAACAGTAACTTGCTCCAGGCTCACTTTGCTCCAGTGTCTAGGACAGGGGTCCTCAAACTACGGTCCGCGGGCCACATGCAGCCCGCGAAAAACATTTATCCAGCCCGCTGGGTGTTTTTGCTGCCGCTGCCTGTCCTGCTTAGCAGCCGACTTGTCCCGGGCCCGCAGTGCGCATGTGTGGAATGCCTGAGGGACAGTGAACTGGCCCCGTTTAAAAAGTTTGAGGACCTCTGGTCTAGGAGATCCGTCTGCCACCAGAACTACGATTCCCAGCATTCCTGGTACTGCCCGCGCTCTGGGCTTCCAGTCCTGGGGCTGCCACCAAAACTACTATTCCCAGAATTCCTGTTGCTCCCGTGATCTTGGTTTTCCCTTCCTGCTCTGTCTCTGTCCCATGGCCTCCCACTCTGCTAAGTCCTCCAAGCCACCAGCTCTCCCTCTCTGCTCTCCATCTGGCAGCTTGGGAGCCAATTTCCCCAAGCTGCTCCACTCTCCAGCGGCTCTCCCGCTCTGCTCTCCGCCCTGTGCCTGTGTATGCAAATTAACCCGCCAACTTTGTCAGGTTAATGTGCATACTTACTCCTGATTGGCTGGTGAGTGTAGCGGAGGGACGGTCAAGTTACAAGTTTCTCTTTTAATATAAAAATGTTTAGGGACAGAAAAGTACATACTTTGATATTTAGTGAAGGCACAGCACTGCAATCAGCACTTCTGCTCTGCATTAAATCTGTCTCAGTTTGTAGTGAGGTCCCAGTCTCCTCTGGTTCGTTTTCCCTTAGAGAAATACCCATTTTTTCAGTTTTATCCAAACCTGACACCATTTCTTCTGTAGCACTGATCTCTTCTGATACAATTTTCCTCAAGGAAATTTGTCTTCCAGTTTCTTTCAAATCTGCCTCTGTTACCTTAAAGACAGCCATCTTTTCCATCAGAGAAATGTCTCTTTTTCCAGTTTCTTTCAAGTTAATCTCCCTTTTCCCTATGGCACTGATCCCCACTAATACCTTTTCCTTTGAGAAAGTTTCTTTTCCAATTTCTTTCAAATCTGCCTCCACTTCTATAATTCTGTCCTTTTGGGCCTTTTCCTGTGTAGGTATTTCTCTTCTTCTGGTTTCTTGCAAATCTGTCTCTCTTTCCGCAGCAGTATTAGTCATAGTCACCTCCGGTATCTCTTTTCTTAGAGAAATCTTCCTTCCAGGTCCTTTCAAACCTGCCTCTGCTTCCCCTACAGTGTTGACTTCTGGGGCCTTTTCCTGTGTGGATATTTCTCTTTTCTCTGTTTCTTCCAAATCCGACTCTCTTTCCTCATTGGCATTAGTCATAGTTACCTCTGGTATCTCCTCCCTTGGAGAAATCACCATTCCAGTTTCATTCAAATCTGTCCCCACTTCCCCTACAGTGTAGACCTCTGGGGCCTTTTCCTGTGTGGACATTTCTCTTCTCTCAGTTTCTTCTAAATCCATCTCTCTTTCCTCAGTGACATTAGTTATAGTTACCTCTGGTATCTCTTCCCTTGGAGAAATCTCCCTTCCAGGTTCTTTCATACCTGCCTCCTCTTCCCCTACAGTGTAGACCTCTGGGCCCTTTTCCTGTGTGGGTATTTCTCTTCTCCTGGTTTCTTCCAAGTCCGTCTCTCTTTCTGCAGTGGTATTAGTCATAGTCACCTCCGGTATCTCTTCCCTTGGAGAAATCTCCCTTCCATGTTCTTTCAAACCTGCCTCCGCTTCCTGTGTGGATATTTCTCTCTCCTCTGTTTCTTCTAAATCGGGATCTCTTTCCTCAATGGCACCAGTCACCTCCAGAATCTTCTCCCTTGGAGAAATCTCTCTTCCAGTTTCTTTCAAATCTGTCTCCGTTTCCACAGTGAAGTCAATCATTTCTGGTTTCTTCTCCCTGAGAGAGATGTCTCTTCTCTCAGTTTCTTTTAACTTTGACTCAGTTTCCTTTGTAGTGCTAGCCTCCACTGGTACCTTCTCTTTTGGCGAGGTTTCTAGTCTTGCTGCTGTCTTTTTCCCAGAAACAACAATCTCCTCTGGCACCTCTTCCTTTGAGGAAATGTCTCTTCTTCCAGTTCTTCTTCCTGTATTTGGCTTTGGTTTCTGAAATCGATTCCTTAGAACTGGAACTTGTTTGAGTATATTTGCTTCATTATCCTCTTGAATACTATAAAAACAAAAGACACAATTGAATTTTAAACCAGACTGTCTGTTGAAGAGATGATGGTTGTGAACTCACTACTGAAACACAAGGGACTTTCCAATTAAAAAATAAGAAAATTAAGAAAGCCCAAGGAATCTCTGAGTAAAATTTAAAAATTAAGAGAGCCCGGATGGTGTGGCTCAATGGTTTAGTACTGAAATATGAATCAGAAGGTCATGGTACAATTCCTGGTCAGGGCAAATGCTCAGTTGTGGGCCCATTCCCTGGTAGGGGGTGTGCAGGAGGCAGCCGATCAATGATTCTTTCATATATATCATTGATGTTTCTACCTCTCTCTGCCTCTCTCTTCTTCTCTGAAATCAATAAAAATTAAATTAAATTAAAAGAGAGCCCTGGCCAGGTAGTTCAGTTAGTTAGAGCATTGATCCATATGCCAAGGTTGCAGGTTCAATTCCTGGTCAGAGCACATATAAGAGTCAACCAATAAATGCATAAATAAGTGGAACAACAAGTTGATGCTTCTCTCTCTCTCTCTCACTCTAAAGTCAATTAATAAATAAAAATTTAAAAAACAAAATTAAGTAGAGAATTTATTAAAAATAATAAAATTAAATTTAAATAAAAATCAAGAGGAAAATTTCATCTTTTGAAATTATGGTAAAATTTTAAAATAACAAAATATCTATTTACATATAGACATATATAAAGAAAAAGTCATCAGTTAGGTCAATTAGATTAGCAGCTAATTGGCCCTGAATAGTTTCCTACTAATTGTCATTCACACCATTCTTCACTAACACTGTTGAAGAAAAACTCTCCTCCAGGCTCTACATTGGAGCTAGCCCAATGTGTACGCTATTCCTACATCTTTGCCCCTACTATCATTTACACAGACATATGACTTACCATAGAGTTAAGGGCCCCATTTACATGGCCAGACTTGGCTGGCATCCCAAACAGCTGGATGGAGGCATAATTTGAAAAAGATATAGCCTTATGACTAAGAACTAGGTTCACACCTCACTTTTAAAAACAATTTAAAATGGTATTTCCTGTACAGACATTTCTCTAAGAGAACACAAACTGGGACTAAAAGGAAGGGTTAAATGAACAGTATTTTGCAGTTTCCTGAGTGTTACTGGGCATTTCAGCAATGTTAGTCTGAACAAGTGTATACAACAGCTTTTAAAAAATGAGATAAAACTGCCCTAGGTGGTTTGGCTCAGTGGATAGAGCATCGGCCCGCCGGCTGAAGGGTCCCAGGTACAATTCCAGTCAGAGGCACATACCTCAGTTGCAAGCTCAATCCCTGGCCCTAGTCAGACCATGCAGGAAGAAACCAATCGATGTGTCTCTCCCACCTCAATGTTTCTCTTGCTCTCTCTGTCTCACCCCCTCCCTTCCACTCTCTCTAAAAATCAATGGAAAAATATCCTCGGGTGAGGATTAACAAAAGTAAAAATTTTGTTTACTTTTTAAATTATTTACAACTATGTTAGTGCTTGTTTGAACTTGTCTATGTCCCAACCTATCTTTCTTTGTTGAAACATGTTTTTCAATGCAATTTTTGATAACACAAGACAGGTTCTTAGTATAAGACTAATTTTCAAATTGTACTTCTTTATGTAACTGAAGTGTTTTTCAACTATCTTTAAATTTAGTAATAGATACCATTCAATGAAAAATTAATACCAACTGGTAAAGAAAATTTAATTTACTTAGTCCTCAGTGGGTTTTATTCTATTTTCTGACTTATGATACTTTTCATCTCCATCCAGGAATATTTAGCTTTTAGTGAGGTTTGTGTACTAGCAACATTGGTTTGGTTATCATAGAAAAGATAAAATCTATATACATAAAATCCTAAGCAACCGAAAGACCGGTCACTATGACCACACACTGACCACCAGGGGGCAGATGCTCAACACAGGAGCTGCCCACTAGTGGTGAGTGTGGCACACCAGCCAGGCGGCAGCCACTCACTCCCTCAGTAGTTCTGCAGATCCAATCTCCAGAGAACAGTATAGGCACCGACAGACCAGCACCACCAGCACGATCCCGACAGCACTGCTGGCCTCCTGGAAGTCAGCCTCGGGCACAATGGCTGCTTTTCCTCCATAAACACTCCATAAGGAAGAAACCATATAAAACGCCAGGTGGTTCCCGACAACAGGAGCGAATGTCAGCGGGACGGATCCGGACCCCGGGCCAGCAGGATGTTCCACCATCCGCCCGGAGGGCTGATCACATCCCAGCCCCCTTCCCTACCCCTGGAAACTCCACCCATGCACGAATTCATGCACTGGGCTTCTAGTATCATTATAAAGTCATATTTTAAACACTAGCATATTCTTAAAATATGTAAATGCTTTAAGCAAAAGATTTATTAATAATATCATTACTTTAATATCAATTCAAATTTTAAGATACAAATACACAATGTTACAATTATATTCCATGTGCTTAAATAGTCTCTGAGTAATCAAAGGCCTTTGATAAACTTTACTTTTTTAAAATATATTTTTTATTGATTTTTCACAGAGAGGAAGGGAGAGGGATAGAGAGCTAGAAACATTGATGAGAGAGAAACATTGATCAGCTGCCTCCTGCACACCTTCCACTGGGGATGTGTCCACAACCAAGGTACATGCCCTTAGCTGGAATCGAATCTGGGACCCTTCAGTCCACAGGCCAACGCTCTATCCACTGAGCCAAACCGGTTAGGACAATAAACTTTATTTTTATGGATAAATAATCAGTACCACATTACTTGGAGTTCATGAACAACTAATCAACAAATAGTTCTGAGCACCTACTACATGCCAAGAAGGCATGTGCTAGGAACTGGGAATACAATGGTGAATGCGGCAGATCTCCTCTTATAGAGCTCATTATCACCTGCATAGCTAACTGAAGATCAGTACCCGAGATTAGAAATCAGATATGAAGTTGTACTCAATTATTCCTCAACTTAAAACATATAATGGATCCACAACTCTTGGATCCAGTTCACAAAATTTAAAGAAAAAGGCAAAGAAAAAAGAGGATCATCACTGGAGAAGACAGGAGAAGAATGTGCACAAAATTACAAATCTACTCCATGGTCCACATGTGTTTTTCTAAATACAGTTTAAGAATCAACAAAATATTTATAAACCTCCGTAAAATAATCATATGAGTACACAGGATGCCACACTAGCCTAGAGAAATGTTTTAGATATATTTGCTAATTGATATAATCAAGAAGAATTTTTAATGCATTCTTCATCTCAGAGTCTCTTTATTTTCTCTTTCTCTTACATAGCACCTTGACAATTCAAAGTATTTGGGAGGAAGGAGAACTGCCTATTAGATACAAAGAGACATATGGTTTAATAAAACATAGAATCTTAGAATTGTTTTTAAGAATGTTGGAGATTCAAAGACCAGAAAGACCACATGATAAAACAGAAAGGACACTGCCTTGAAAAGAAATAGTTGTTGAGATCAGACTGGTTATCCTATATAGTAAAAGCCTAATATGCAAATTGACCAAACAATGGAACGACCAGAAGAACGACCAGTCGCTATGACGAGCACTGACCTCCAGGGAGCAGATGCTCAATGCAGGAGCTGCCCCAAGCCCTCAGGACCCAGGCCAGCCAAGGCGGGTGCCAGCGGGGGCCCCCATGATCGCCCCACCTGTTGCCCCACAGATCAACCCTGATCGCCAGCCAGGCCTAAGGACCCTACCAATTCAAATTTCATGCACCGGACCTCCAGTTAGTTATAAACATATCTACCAGAGTTCTAAAACCCAAAGACCACTAAGAGAAAAACTTAATTTTCTACCAAGCCAAGATGAACTATTAAATGGAGTTTGGTTTAGCCCTGGCAGATGTGGCTCAGCTGGTTAGAGCATCATCCAATACAAGAGGTTACAAGTTCGATTCCCAGCCAGGGCATGTACCCAGGTTGTGAGTTCAATCCCCAGTAGGGCCACATGTGGAAGGCAACCAATCAATGTTTCATTCTTGTATCGATGATACGCTCACGCTCCCTCCCTCTCTCTTTCTCTCCCTTCCTCTCTCTAAAAATCAATAAAAGCATGTCCTCTATAGTGAGGATTTTTTTTTAATGAAATATGGTTTAAACAGAAAAAAAATATAAACAAAAAATCCAAACTGTCAGATACCAGATATCTATATCAGAGATATGTGCCAAATAATGTTGTACAGAATTCTACCCAGAGATTCTGTAGCAGAATAGTAAAATAGTTTGGGGGTGGGGAAAAGCAGTATAGGGAAATAGGAAGCAAAAGAATAGAGGAAGGAAGAAGTGAAGAATAAAGGAATTTTTTCAAATAAAGATCTTTAAAATAGTTCAGGAAACCGAGCTTTCACTCTGAGGTTAGATAGTAAACAGGTTAATACTGGTATAAGAAAGTATAAAATAGGCCAGAATTTAAATGAAAAGATTGGAAAAATATTAATAATTGTTGAAACTAGATAGTATGTATACATGGGAGTCCATTAGTCTGTGCTCACTTCTTTTTGCACATTAAATATTCCCAAAAGGAAAAAGAAATTAAAGTATATTAATAATTTCATCAATCTGGCTTGGTGCCCTCCAGAGGGGAAATAACAAATATAAAAGAGCTTTGGCTGTGAGAAGTATGGGTTTTTACATATGTTTTTACATAAAATTTATCTAATCCTTAAATAAAGGCAATATGGGATCAGTCTAATCTCAAAGAATCAAAAATATTTAAAAAATAAGAAACATTATCACATTTGGACAAAGACATACGATTTAACATGCATGTTAAATGGTAATCCTATCCATGTGAACTCAACGTCTAATTTATAATGAGTAGCTCTTTTCAACTCACCCAAAACTGACAAATTGACATGAAGGCTATGACATAAATTGCCTTGAAAAATGAAGTTATAGCTCTAGCTGGTTTTGCTCAGTGGAAAGAATGTCGGCTTGTGACTGAAGGGTCCTGGGTTCAATTCCGGTCAAGGGCACATGCCCGGGTTGTGGGCTCTATCCCCAGTGGGGGGTGTGCAGGAGGCAGCCGATCGATCAATGGCTCTCTGTCATCACTGATGCTTCTATCTCTCTCTCTCTTTCTCCCTTCCTCTCTGAAATCAATAAAAACATATTTTAAAAAAGAAAAGAAAAATGAAGTCATATTTCTAAACTAGAGGCCCCCTCTTGCAATCCTGGTCCCCTTGGGGAATGTTCCACTGCCAGTTTGGCTCAATCCCACAGGCCAAACCGATCGAGCCTAAACCAGCAGTCCGACATCCCTCTCGCAATCCGGGACCGCTGGCTCTAAACCGCTCACCTGTCTGCTTGCCTGGTTGCCCCTAACCACTCCGCCTGCCTGCCTCATCGCCCCTAACCACTCTCCTGCCTGTCTGATTGCCCCTAACCACTCGCCTGCCTGCCTGATTGCCCCTAACTGCTCACCAGCCTGCCTCTAACCGCTCCTAACCGCCTCTGCCTCGGCCCTCACTGCTGCAGCTTCATCTGGAAGGACGTCCGGAATGACGTCTGGAAGGTCATTTGGCTGTCTGGTCTAATTAGCATACATTTTTATTATTATAGATATTATGTAATTTGATATACAAAAAAAATCAGGTCTGATTTGCTTGTTTTTAAAAATTAACAATTTCTAAAACTTTATACAAAATTTTGAAATTATATAATAAGATGATGATTACCTTGGACATTCATTAAGAGACTTGGGCTCATCTGGTTGCACATTTTGAAAAGAAGTATCTTTTTTTTCAGATTGTGAGGTGATGTCACGTAACTGATCTTCTGTTTGTTGAGGAGTCTTGATAACAAACACAATTTTTTAAAAAGTTTTAGTTTTCAAAATGAAACAATCATTTATAATGTCTAATTTGAGTACAAATTAAACAGTAACATTTCAAAACCATAAAATGATAGTCCAAAGATGTTGTTTTTTCTTTAGATATGTTAGAAAATTTCCTAAGCCACAGCTTTTACCTCATCTCAAAGGCCCTTGTTTCCTCCCAATCAGAAAGCAAGTAACTGCATTAGTCTCATCTGTAAGAATTATACCCTGGGGTCTATCTCTCTGAATATATCTTATTATTATAATCACATTACAGACCTTGGAAATTATGCCAACTGTTACCCTTATCCCAAAGACTAGTTATTATGTAAATATACTAAAATCCATAATCTTTGTTCTTAGAATTATATTTTAGTAGGAAGATTTTAACATTTTGTTTCTGGCAGCGTTAAAATTCACATATCAAACTATATTTTCAAAAGGAAGTGTAGCCAAAACCGGTTTGGCTCAATGGATAGAGCGTCGGCCTGCGGACTGAAGGGTCCCAGGTTCGATTCCGGTCAAGGGCATGTACCTGGGTTGCGGGCAAATCCCCAGTGGGGAGTGTGCAGGAGGCAGCTGATCGATGTTTCTCTCTCATTGATGTTTCTAACTCTCTATCTCTCTCCCTTCCTCTCTGTAAAAAATCAATAAAATATATTAAAAAAACAAAAAGCTTTAAAAAAAATAAAAACAAAAAAAGGGAAGTGTAGCCGAAACCAGTTTGGCTCAGTGGATGGAGCGTCAGCCTGTGGACTGAGGGGTCCCGGGTTCGATTCCGGTCAGGGGCATGTACCTGGGTTGCGGGCACATCCCCA